CGGCAGAGACGAGCCCCGCCCCCGCCGCCGTTATTGGAGGAATCAGAATCATAATCAGGGGAAGAAGCGTTAGAGATATCTCTACCGTGGGAGATGATTTGGGCTGGATTTCCACACGGTGGCACCGATGTCGTCGATCGCCTGGCCGACGGTCTCGACCTTCTTCATTTTCTTGTTCGCTGCGGTAAGGAGAATGAGCTTGTGGATGCCGCCGTCGATCTGAAGTGATGGTGGAGGGATTTTAGTGAGAAGGGGAAAAGAAGATGAAAAGGCGTGCACGGTTTCCATTTTATTTATTGTTATTGTTATTTTTACCTTTTCATGTTTATAATAATAACTTAATAAGAAAGGAAATTTCCACCTAGGATTGATTTAAACAAAAAAATCGCCACGTCACTAGAAAACGTTAGTACAGTCAGCATTTATGATATTGCCATTAAAGTTTTGGACGGAATGGCTATACGAGTGTATTTTTCAAAAAGTGGCTATATCTGTCACAACGAGAATAGTTATGGCTATGAAAGTGTTTTTTGCCTAAAGAGTATATGATCCACGATTGAACATGTCCCAACAACTCGAGTTATTGGGATCAACTGGTTCTTGACATGATATCAGAGCCTTCTGTGACCGTGAGGTCTTCTGTTCGATTCCCGGCACCGCCGGCGGCACACTTGTCACAGTTCCACGACGGAATTCCCCGCCGTTTTGCAGCACCACATAAGGAGTTCAGCGAAGCAAACTCCGAAGAAGACGAAAATAATCAGTACTCCCGCGAGGCTCCGAATCTCCCAGCCCAGTTCCATCTCCAGCAGCAGCAGCAGGGGAAGAAAGGAAAAACAGAGTAAGAACAGCCAAAAAGAAGGGTGGGGAGATATGATCAGGAAATGGGCAATATATATATATATACACCAAAGCTTCAATTGAGGTTTCTATTGAGAGAAATAAGAAGAAGAAAAAACTCGCACCTCTGGGTTACCGGTGAACGCGTCAACCCTGAACCTTTCCTTCCGTCAGGCTATATTAGGGTTCTGATCCCTGCAGCAAGCATTAGCCGGAAAAAGGGTAGTTTTAATTATGAAAGACAACTTGAGATTTTTAATATGGAATGTAAGTCCGGGCAAGTGCAGGGCTCTCTGCAACTCTGCCTGCTGCTATTTCTGGAGTACTCTGTTTATGGGATTGTAATTACGCGGAGGAGATTCATAATTGCGGGTTTTCGAGGGTCAAAATAAAGTGTGGAAATGGAAAACTGCAGGCTGGATTGTGGATTTTATTTTGTAATGTTTACGCCGGTGAGGGAAACGGGAGAACGAGTGAAGCCGCCATCGCCGGGAATCAGCTCCGACGACTTCCATTTTCGCGGGAAGCTCTGACTCTGTTTTCCTTTCCCCGGGACCCGGGTACAAGGAAGGGCGACAAATTTTTTTTTTTTTTTGGAGTTTTCGGTATCTTATTTGCGGGCCAGGCCCAACTCGATTTTGATAGTCTTTCGTTCCTCTTGGTAGGCCCAATTTGTTTATGGTCAGTCCAAAAAACAAAAATATCAATTTGGTAACTTAAGTAATCTATATCTATGATTTGGTCAGTCAAAAATATGATTATTCCAGATTATGTATGTACCCAAATTACCGTTTTTCGAGCAACCAGCAGCGGCCATGTTAGAGAAGCTATATAAGATGGGTATTTGTCATTTGAGTTGCTATATAAGAGGGAATGAGAGGTGGGTGATAATTTTAGAAGATATTTAATTCTGATAGTAGAAAAGTCAATTTCATTAAATTATGATAAACATTTCATTAAATTATTTGTGTAATTTTCATCAAATTTTGATCCCCATAACCTAAGGAAATATGTCTCTAATAGCCCATAAATATTTTCTTCCACCCTGTATCATTAACCATACATTCTCATGTCAATAAGAAATTATATAGTTTGCACTCTTAATGCTAAATTATATATTCTCAAACTCTCAATACTAAAGTTTACACTCTGACATCAGAAGGCCAAAATATGTGAGATGGAGCAAAAATTATCTTTATATTCAACTTAGTAAATGAATTATACTTTTGATAATTTCCTAAGATATAAAAAATGGCTAAATATCTTCAATTTGTATTTAGCTTTTGAATAATTAATAAAAATTTTCAACCATACACTTACATCTTAAACAATAAGTCAAACCAAATAATTTTCTTTGAAGAATACAATCCAAAAAAAAAACTAATAACAATTAAGCACATGTGTTTGTACTTTATCATCAAGCTAAAGCAAAAGTATTCATTTCTTTATTTCAAAGTTTACCAACACTAACCTAATAGATTAATTCCAATATTTGGTATCAAATAAAATCATCTCTTAAAAATGATATCAACTTTTGTATACATTAAAATAAAATTTATTACAATGTCAATAATTTCTTCACATACTTGAAAATACCATGTGCTTTGATGATAAGCAAATATATCACCATGATACAAATGTACATCATGACCATTCAACACAAATACTATGTTGGTATAGTTTAGAAATACCGTAGTATAGTAATGCAAGACACGACGATGACCACATCGTCATATGGATAAAATATTATATTATAAAATAAATACCATTAAGTAAATCACACAAAATCAAATTGATGTTTAAAAAAGAAAATGACAGATAAACATGATAAGAATTAAGAAAAAAGTTAAAGGAGAGCAACATGTGTCTTAATATGATAGGATGACTGAAAAAAAAATCATTATTATAATAAAAAAAATATCAAACGGAAAAATAAGAGGAAAAGGTTGGTTTCAACCGACTAAATAGTGAGGTGGGAAAAACAAAAATTGCACGTCCTTTTTAAAGATATTTTTATATTACATCTTTTTCCAATCTTTATTAATTTGCAATTACCATCATTGGAGGATTACTAATTTAATCACCCATACAAATTTTGTATTCGACTCCAACGTTGCATTTTTTACCAGTCGTACCTTCTACTTCTAGTGATTCTTATAGTAAGGTGCCAACCTGCTACCACACGATATCAGCCATCTGTTCATGCATGCATATAATATGAAAGGAAATGAGTTTCTATACATGCGAATGCAGTCTCTGACTGTCTCCAAACATGGTTTTCCTGTCTGTCAATGGCACGTGTGATACGTGTTCATGAATTTATCAGTTTATTACTATGAATGAATTTAGAGATATAGACATGACTTGTGTGATACATGGCTATAAAGGTTCCACCTCTTAAACCATATTAGATTAGTTTAGTTCACTTCGGGCTTTCACCTGCAGAGGTGGTAGGAGCCCTTCACAAGCAATGGAGGAAAGGTGAATTCAAGGCTCATCGATTTGGGGGTTCCTCCTAATATGCTACATGTATGCAACTTGCCTGTGGGTTTGCAACTTGCATCGCTTTTCCTCCCAAATCGATCATCCTCGAATTCAGTTTTCCTCCGGTGCTTGTCTGTGAGTTATTGTTACAAATCCATTATTTCTCAATTCTATCTCTCCGTACAAGCTCTCTCCGGGGGTTTTCAAGCCAGCAGTTGGCCACCGGTTGTGGCTGTCGTTGGCAACTGATTCCCGCAACAGAGAGGTCTGACCTTTGGCTTGTGGAATGGTCTTTCGGACCTAGGAGCAGTCTTGGGATCCTTGATGGTGGCGGCCCTAATCACCCACGGGTAGGGGTAAGGGTGGGCATTGCATTGACCCAAACCGCATCGCACCGCATATTGTTTGGACCGCACATTAGACCGTAATTTAATTGGTGCAGTCAAACCGAACCGCCTAAATAAGTGATTTGGTGCGGTTTGAACCGCACTGCATATGGGACCGCTTTGTAATATGGACTAAGAATAATTGAATTGAAATTTTTGAATTCACTTTCTACACAGATAATTTGTAATTCTAAGAAAAAAAATTTTAAAATACTATCTAGTAATGGTTGAAAATGGAAACAAGTCTAGTACGTTTATGAATGTGGCTTAGTTTCTTTGATGTTTAACTTCAACAAACCTATTTGTTTTGCTAATGGTGATGTATTTTATTAATAAAAAATATATGAGAATAAAAAGGGAAACACAAAACAGTACAAATTAAACCACCTGGTTAGTTTAATTATAAACCAAAGCCGTGACACTGTATCCAGCTTATATTGAGTATTAGCTATGTTTGGCCCGGCTATTAAAAGTGTTTTTCGAGATCAAAAGCTGAAGTAAGGTCAAACACATCTAAAAGCTCGGCTTTTGAAAAGTCAAAAAGCGTTTTTGTATAACATAAAAGCAGAAGCTCTAACTTGGAGCTTCTGCGAAAAGCTGTTTTGAAAATACAAGATTATCCTTATCATATTTTAATTTTATTTCAGAAAATATAATTTTCTTTTATTTATATCATTTTAAAAATAAAATAAATTTTAAAATCATATTATTTAATATAAAATAATTCTAATAAGATCCATTTTGACTACAGTTTATTGTTTAAAATTATTATTCATAATTTATATTATAAGACCTTTATAGTTATTTTACACAACCTCTAATACTAAAAAGCACTTATAATAGTTTTTCAGCCAAACACTCAACTGTTTTTTTTGAAAAGTACTTCTCTAAAAGCTCAAGCCAAAAATTGCTTCTGCAAAAGCTACAACAGGGCCAAACTGAGCCATTGACTACAATTAAATCGTACGTGTCCTTCCAGTTCCCAAGTTACAGACGCTGCAACCAACAAAGCAGCGACGCTGCATCCAAATATGTGGTTTGCGGTTTTGAACCGCAACGGTGCAATTTCAGATTAATCTGATCGTGAACCGCGAACTGCTAAAAATTTAAAACACATATTAGACCGTTGCAAGTCTTACGGTGCGATTTGGCTCATGTTATACTTATTTGATATTTTTTTCTTCAGCAATGTGTGCTAATCCCTCAAAGAGATTTCACACAATGGGATCAGAAAGGAGGGCATAAGAAAGAATTTTTTTTTTTAATAAGCATAGTATGAGTTAATGCGTCACTCATATCCGTCTTTTCTTTAAAACATATAATAATTCATACGATCAATTGAATGTATAGGAGAAAAGTTCAAGACCACAAGTTACGAGATTGCAGTCTACTCGACTTGCAACCTACGTACGACATATGTGCATGAGTATTCGAACATGCGTCAAAAGAAAAAATTGCTTAATTTGTCTAACACATTCTCCACCACAAGTGGATAGTTATAGAACATGAAGAAGAGGAAGATACCACCGTTAAGAAGAAATACAAACAAAGCACCCAAGGTAAGCACAATCCTAGCTCGGCGATACTCTGCGGCGTTCCCCGCTGGGGTCGTCATCTCAATCTCAAACTGATCCTCTACTTCAACAGCCACCATCTCCTCCCAGCTGCCGACTCCTGCCTCCAACAACGTCGTTTCATCATCGGAACAGCAAAAATTCCTCATTGACATTGATTCTCTCTCCACCGTCAGCAGCCGGAAGCTTCCGCCGCGGGAGGCTCGCTCCCAACTCAGTACTTGAAATTCCCCCACCACATCTCCTCCTCCTCCTCCCGCCGCCGCCGCCGCCGGCGGCACAAGAATCGAACGCAGATAGTTGATTCCATGGAATCGTTTCGGCGACAGAGGACGGGCCGCCCGCATCTTCCTCGCCCTCCACCTCCGCTCGCCGTGCTCCTCCTCGCGTCCGACAACCAAAACATCTCCCGTTTCGAGCAGACAAAAGAAACGGCCCTCCTTGTATCCGATCTCGGCGGAGATTCTTCCGCCCCAAGGGGACCTGCAAGTCCACCAGCGATTCTCGTGGGGGAAGAGCAAGCTGAAAATTTGATAGCCGCCGTGGAGGACGAAGATGACCGAATCGGGATCGGTCGGCGGGGCCGACAGCGCCGCTCTTCTAGGGTTACGCCCGTTCAGCGACAGAAACAGCCTGGGGACTTCGATCACGTTTCCGGAGGGCAGCAGGGGATTGAAGCAGCAGAAGATTTCGTCTGCGGTGTTGCATAGCAGCCACCAGCCGCTCCCCTTGCCGATGACCGATGCGCCGTCGAAATCCCTGGCCAACTGATCTGGGTGTTGTGGCTGTGACACCGTCGTCATCTTACGGTCGTCCAGGGTTCCGCTGTAGAAAGTGCAGACGCTCAAGTCCGCGTTGTGGGTCGCCCTTGGGGCGGCGTAATCGGTGGTGGCGGTGTAGAATCGACGCCAGTTTCGGCAAACGGAACCGAATTCCGCGCGCTCGATGTGGGAAGGGAGCCTTGAACAGATCGAATTCAGTAGATCTGGACAGAGATCGGCCCATGGACGACGACGATCCCCTGTTACCCCTGCTGCTGATCTCTCGCTCCTCATCCCTTTGTTCTCAGTAGTCACGGTGGATTGGATTGAATTCCATCACAGATACAAGATTCATACTTTTATGATCTTCAACAAAGGTTGTTGAAAAAAGAAACGCATTCCCTTTCCGTTTCGGAAAAATCTATGCTCAATTCCTATCCAAGCCCAAAATCAGCCCACGCTCGAATTAACCTAGTGTGAAATATCCTCGGGTACCATTAAAGTATTAGACTTGGGAGAGCTATACAACTTAAATTTGAATAGAGCGTTGGGTAGCATTGAACTCTACCTGACAAAGCTAGGTACATGAATGTCTCAGAATGTCTTTATCGGTCTTTATGAATGGCACACCGAAAGGATTCTTTACTCCCTCTCGAGGACTCCGACAGGGTGATCCGCTCTCTCCTCTCTTGTTTGTGATTTGCACGGAGGGGTTTGCCGCTCTGCTGCGGAAAGCTATTTCATATGGGAAACTGGAAGTCGTCAAGGTCGCCCCTCGATCTTCCCGAATCTCACATTTGTTTTACGCTGATGATTTTTATCTATTCCTTACAGGATCTCTTCAGGAATGTGATAATTTGATCACAATGTTATATGATTATGAGGAACTGAGATGGACAAAGGATCAACTTGGCAAAATCAGCGGTTTGCTTTAGCATGAATATCGCTTTACCAAGCCAAGAGTTCCTTGCTCAGATTCTGAGTGTTGGTGCCGTGGGGGTCCATAATAAATATCTGGGATTGCCTACTCTGATAGCCCGCTCTAAAATGGAGACGTTTCAATATTTGGAGGAAAAGTTGCTAGCTCGACTTCAGTCAGGACGACCATCAGGTGTAATACTCAGCTTGTTGACAAGATTAGTTTTCACAGTAATCTCAACACAGACTTTTGCCACCCCAAATCTTGTCCCCCGCTTTGTAGAAAAATCCATACACAACGGTTTGCCCAAAGAGCTAGAAATACACCCTAAACCCTCCTTCGAAGTCATCTCAAACGGCAAATTCAATAACCTAATCCATACCGGATTAACAGAGTTACGTTATCGATGGCAAGTGGTTGAATACCTAGTTCCTATTTGCACATGAAGATCATGTTCTCACGATAGTGCCAGGGACCACTTCAAAGACACACTTGCAGACCTTGCGCGCTCGGAAATTAAAATAGAACCAGCCGCTCCCCTGTCACGAAACCCTTATCGCTCCATCACGCCGCCGATTCCAATTCTCCCAAAAGTGAATTGAAGATAATGACGCCGGACGGTCAAGGAATTGGACCACGAGAAAATTTACCCACCGCTTCGAGCCCTTACCGACTACCGATCTAGAAATCCGCAGTGAGCCATTAACATACTCTGGTTCGTAGTAGTCCAACTTATAATCAGGATTGATCACAAATAGAGAAGCCCAGGTACCCCCCGGCACCTATGGCACCTGTAGAGGCTCTGTCTGTGACGGTCACCATCAACTGAAGAAGAAGAAGGAAAACTCCGACTTAGAGGAAAACAAGGCGAAGAGAGAGAGAGAGAGAGAGAGTAAACTATTGCAATTTCCTTTCTGAGATTTAATGGGTATTTAATACTATCAATATTTTAGTGGTTAGTTATTTAAAGTTTGAATTGAAAGATCGTACGTACCGGCGGTTCGACCATAAAACTTCACAGTTCACACCATATGCTAAATCGGTAGGTGATTGAGTCACGGTTAAATTATGACTTCAGTATAAAATACTCTACCACCAACTTATTTTATACGATTTTACAATCCTTGGTTCAAACACATTGTAACTATTAGTGACACCATAAGGGGTCGTTTGGAAGTTATGATTTCAAAGGGTGTATTGAGCTAATCCATGTATTTGTGAGATCAAGTCTTTTTTTTTGTCTTATATTGAACTAGAATACATGCATTAACTTTTTGGAGGCCCCACCAGAATCACTCATAATTGAGGGATTATCAATCTCTACTTTTTGTTGAGATTCTTCCCAATCACTCAAAGTGGACTTTTGTGGTTTTACAACAAACCACAATTTAAACCTTCAAACAAGATATTTTCATAATGCAACAATTGATTCAATACATCAAATGATAATACACTAATTCGCTCAATACATCAATTTGAAAAATCACAACTTCCAAACGACCCCTTAGCTTCATGTCCTCTATATTTCAAATCAAGCAATTTCATATTTATACCAACGGTGTGGTAACAAGAATGTTCTCTATTGGGAAAAACTAAAAAGACATATTGAACTCTATGAGAGACGTTTTCTTTCATCCTAAAGTTTGATTAAGTATTTATTACGAGAAACATTTATAATACTCATTTATATGGTTTAATTAAGTAATATTTATTTCTAATTTTCTTTAAATAATTATATGTAATGGTTATATCATATTTTTCTCTCTTTTCATTGAGGTCTAAACACATTATGCATAGTTGGATCACTTTCAAAAATGTTATGTGCATAACTAAGGTATAAAATACTCATTTCATGTATTTCAGATCATTTATTATATGCATTATTTTATATCATATTCCTTGACAAAATTCTCCCGGCCCGAGCCCTGTGCTAGTCTATAGAATAGAGTGTTTATGTTGAGTGAAATAGTTTGAGCGATAGTAAAATTTCTCAGAGTTCGATCCTCAATCATAAGTTTTTTGTGAGCCGCCATAAAGCTTTGTAGAATATTAGAAAGGAGACGACATACGGATGAAGGCAACGAATGCTCGATGATTGAAAAGAACAAGACATGCATGCAGGGGTGGAGCTACTTGGAAGGTAGGGTGGGCCCCGGGCCTCCCGGGATTAGTCTGGGCCCCTAGAATATTAAGGATATTTAAATAAAATTTGAATAAGTACGACTCGGCCAGAACATCATTTTATACAATTATCATGTAATCTACTGGTAGCTAATCTAGTTTTCAGCCTGGAGCACCCAAGTTCAATTCACCACTACCTCACATTTTGCTTTGTTTTGAGTTATTTCAATGATTTTTAGACTATATTGAAAGAAAGGTAGCAAAACATTTAGTTTAGATGCCATTTTGAGTGATTTTTCAATGATTTCAAAGAACGTTGTATGCTTTTAAAATAATTTTTTTATTTTTATTTACATTTAATTATTTTTGACCCACCCGGTGTAGAAATCCTGGCTCCGCCCCTGCATGCATGGGAGCTTGTGGATAAGCCAAAAAGACATGGAATGATAAAATGGATCTATTAGACCAAATTCAATGAGAACGGATCAATCCAAAACCAAAAACACAAAGACGAGAATGATGGTTGATTTTATGGCTTTCTAGCCAAAGAAAAAAATAAAATTTCACAACCAAAACTAATGCCAAATCAACGTAAATCTAACTTTGTTCCTTTGCTGCACAATGGACGAAACTATATCTCGAGAGAGGGAGATCTCAATCATCTGATCATGAACGTCGCTTCTTATTTTCACGCTGCACAACTGATGGCGCCAGCACGTGAAATCCCAACAACAAAGAATACGATGGTGTCTCTTCAAGAGCTGGTCGTAGAAGCACTGTTTTGACACGACAAAAATGGAAACGCCGTTAGAATTAGCAAACCTCCAGTCTATATATAAAAGAAAAGTTGATGAGACATGCATGTACTATTCTCTCTGCACTTACAGAATACAAGAAGAAGAAGATGGGTTCACGACAAGCTCGAGAAATGGAGAGGAAGTTAGGGCGGCAGATGGAGAAGAAACCACCGAGAAGAGCATCGCCTCCCTCCGTGGCGTCCAATTCTGTCTGGGCAAAGGCCCCCAATTCCAAATGTTGAACAATCAAAGGACACTCTTTTACATGGCCACTGCTGGCTCCTCGCTCAGATTGGAAAGATGGCACCTGCATGCATACGATGAATTTGAATCTTTATGATGATAAATGCAGAAATTAGTTAGCCAATTTGAATGCGTTGCAAGTTTTTAATTCGAGTGTTCCTGGAGATCTCGAGCACCAATGCTTAATAGCATAGTAGAAGAGCTTGATAACGTTATATACACATCTACACATATGATCATATGGTTCAGAAAGACACAGCTCAGCCTGACCCAGGCGATAGGTTGCTACGTCAAACCGTCGCCTCGCCCGCAGTGGGTTAGGTGCTACCAATAAACGAATTTGTACAAGGTATACCGTTCAGACTAGTGATACGTCAGGCATAAATTGTAACGCTCGTCGAGTTTTACTATTTAGAGCACGAATTAACTGAAATTTGTGGCATGATACTATACTCCTAACCTCTAAAGAGTGAATTCCTACCCCTAATTTTCTAACCCAAGCCACAAGATTCATTTAATCTATAAAAAAATCCGACGATTTTGATTCAGCGAAATATATCAAAATGCAAAAACAACACAGATTGCACACATACATACCTGCTGCTGCGGTTTCGGCTGCGGCTTGTATATACAGTTTTTAAGCTCCAGCTCCAAGTGAAGATGAGGGTGGGCTCGAGTTAACCTGGCGAGGAAGTCCCTCAACCCCCGAAACCAACCATGGTCTATGGACTGCGCTTGGCGATACATGTAAGACAGGTCGAAAATGCATTCGGTAGAAAGCGACCAAATTAGGCGCGTCAACGTGCAAGTCGGCCAGCGGGAAGCACTTGAACGGCAGTACACCAAGGCTGGAGCTCGAGACACGTAGGGTCCTCGCCCCGGCCGGCCGCGCGCTGCCCAAGAGACTTAGGGAGTGGAGGGACGGGAAGTTGGAGAGCAAGTGATCGAGGCGGGATTGGGTGAGGATGTGCGAGTTGCAGCACCGCAGCGTCAGGTCTTGGAGATCGGGAGCCGTAGAAGATGACGATGATGAGTCGTCTAGGGTCAGGGAATCCAGCAGGGAGACGTCGAGGGCGCGGAGGAGAGGAGCTGAGGCAATGTGGACCTCTAGGTCCGAGTAGTCGTCACCGCCGCCGCCGCCGCCTTCTATGAAGCCCTGGATGCTAAGGGATTTCAGGGTGTTGGAGGACACGTGCAGCGATTTCAGGCCCTCAACGGACGTCAGGCTCACCGTCTCCGCGTTCCGACACAGGGAGGACACGAGGGCGGAAGCCTTTGTGCTGCTGCCAATCCGGACGCGGTAGAGATGCACAACCTGTTACAACAAAGGAGGAAATTTTAGGGTTGTTGGATTGATCTAACCGGGGAGTACTTGTACTATGCTATAAAGTGATGTTGTTGCTTCTGCTTTAATGTACAACTACTTAAATGTATGGTTCGAAAAGGCACGCTTAGCCTTTACGATTAGGCACGCTTGCGCGCAAGGCAACGGCAAAACATCTCGCCTAGGGTTTTTTCGCGCCTAATATTGGAACACGTCAATGGAGTAAGACGACATATAAGTCTCTCCTAAACCATTACTAGATGGAGCTAGGCGAAGTCGAGATTAACGGAGAAAATTAACTGTCAACTACGAAATCAAATTCTATATCAATAATTTTCAATAGCTCAAGAACTTTGTGAGATACTGAGATATGGTTCTATGAATTCTTAAGCAATGTTCTTGTCATTAAGTGTTGAGTAATTTACTAATCATTTCACTAAAGTGTTGTAGATTATTATTTCATTATCATGTAGTGCGAATAACTATTTTTCTTCCAACGTCTAGACACGCTTGGTCTACGCCTAGACGAGCTAGGCGCTATAGCCTATAGCCGAAGTCTCAACGCCCGCCTTGTTAAACGTACGAAATCAAATACCAAAAACAATAGACAGACACACAGAATTAACGTGGTATCCCTGGAATGCCAGGACTAATCCACGGGAGAGTCGTGCTCTCCAAAGTCAATCGTACTAGGTTTTTCGTGATCAATTTCATCATGTACAGAAGAAGCTAAATAGCAGCCAGCAACCCTAGCTTCTACACGTGCCCTGCATGGATTGCATGGGCTTGGGCCAACTGTCAACTACTAAATACACATCAACCTCGTTGGCCCATTAAGTACATAATTAAACCGCTAACAGCCTCCCCCAAATTGATGCCGGGAACGAAGCATCAATTTGCTTGAGAGGTACCAATGCCGGGAGCTGGTAAACGGTTTAGTAAATATGTCAGCAATCTGATCATCCGTACGCAGGTATTGTAGCCGCACAGTGCCATCCCGCACCAAGTCACGAACATAATGAACATGCAGCTCGATATGCTTCGTGCGATCATGTAGAACTGGGTTAATCGCGATCTGAATGGCACTGGTATTATCCACAAACAGCTCGAGCGGCAGGGAACAAGATACACCAAAGATCTTTCAAGCAAAATGCCCGATAGCCCGAACAATACCCGCCGCCGATGTCCTGGTAAACAGGGAAGGATCGTTCAGACTCTGCCGCATACCAAGCTGGAGAATAGTAGACTGGAACTTGTCAAACCACGCACGGGGCGCCTGTTTGAGACCGTACAGTGACCGGTGAAGCAGGCAGACCTGACCAGGCAATCCGACATTATAACCAGGAGGTTTCTCCAAATACACAACCTCCTTTAAGTCCCCGTGCAAGAAAGCATTTTTAACGTCAAGTTGGAATAACGGCCACTTGTTACGGGCAGCCACCGCTAACAGAGTACGAACAGTAGCCATCTTGGCGACCGGTGCAAACTTCTCATCAAAATCGATTCCTTGCTCCTGCGTAAACCCCTGCGCTACAATGCGAGCCTTGTGCCGTTCAATCGCACCTTCTGGAGTCATTTTGAGAGAATACAACCAACGTGATCCGATCACCGGAACTTCAGGAGGAGGTCGATCAACGACCGTCCAAGTCTTATTAGCATGAACTGCATCAATTTCCGTTTGCATCGCAGCGTCCCAGAGAGGATTACCTGCGGCCTGCTTATAACGAGTAGGTACCACAATGGCCTCGACCCCGTAGGCCATATAATCATCAAAGTGAGGTGGTGGCTGACCACGAGTGGCTCGATCCGATCGGCGAAGAACAGGCGGCTCAGGAGAAGACGAACCCGCACTAGAACTAGCGGAGGTCGCGGGAGTGGAGCCAGCCGAGGAGGGAGCCGAAAGGGAGCTGTCGAGGGAGCTGGAGGAGACAGCTGCAGATGGTGACGTAGAAGACGAACCAGAAGGCGAGCCGGCAGGAGAGTGCGGTGGTGTGGGAGGCAAATGCGGCGCTGGGGAGGGCGGGTCATCAGGAGGCTGTAGACCTCCATCATCCATCTCATCATCATGAAAAGCAGGCAACGTAGACAAAGGTGGAACAAACAGAGGTTCGGACGCATCCGAGGAAAAGAACTTAAATTGTTCAAAGAAGACAACGGTGGCAGCTATACGAACTCGACGAAGGACAGGATCATAACAAACATAACCTTTATGGATGTCACTATACCCCAAAAAGGCACAGCGAGCGGTTTTAGAGGTCAGCTTAGTACGTTCCTTTCTCGGCAGGAGAACAAAACACAGGCACCCGAACACCCTTAGACGAGAGTAATCAGGATGACGGGAGTACAAAGCAAAGTATGGGCTGACATGATTGAGAACTGGGGTGATCTGGTAATTGATTAGCCGAACGGCAGTAGCAACAGCCTCTGGCCAAAATCAAGACGGAACGTGGGATTCTAGCAATAGGGCACGAGTGAGATCAAGGACATGCCTATTTTTCCGTTCAACAAGACCATTTTGTTGCGACACACCAGGACAAGACTTTTGACAGAGGGTACCTAAGGAACGATATAAGGCCAATAAAGGGGTTGAGTTGAACTCGCCCCCAGGATCAGATCGAAGAATCCGGACGGGTTTATTAAACTGAGTCTGCACCATTTTCAAAAATTCTTCAGCAACCGCCCGTAATTCAGACTTAAGACGTAAAAAATACACCCAAGTAAATCTGGTGGCGTGATCTACAAAAAGGGCAAAATATCGATAGCCATGGCGAGACAACACAGAAGAAGGACCCCACAAATCAGAATGCACAATGTGAAAAGAATCCGAAATCACAGTAGAACTGGAGGGAAAAGATATACTGATCGTTTTGGCTTCAACACAGCTTGTGCAGTTATGTTTGGATGCAACAGTGACACTATTCTTGCCTAACAAAGACTGACGAAACATTTGTAACAGACGACCTGAATTGGGATGACCTAACCGGGAATGCCACAAGTCCCAAGTGTTATTGGAAAAACTAGGAAGGCTCGAAAAACTGGATACGGACTGACTCGGCAGAACAGGAGGACTACTGACGATGCTACCAGGAGATGTTCTCAGCTCGGTTGCACATGACGATGGATGAATGAGTTCTTCGAGCTGAAATAACCGCCCCCTTTTACTCCCGCGGCCGATCTGCCTCCCCGTCTTCAGGTCCTGCACAACACAGCCAGACGGTGCAAACGTAACCGAACACCCATGATCAGTAAGTTGACCAACCGAAACTAAGTTGGGTACCAGTTTAGGAACATGTAACGTGTCAGGGAGCTCAATTTTTGACTGACGGACACAACCCAATCCATGCACCTTCAAGTTCTCACCATTAGCTACACGTAAATTCATATGACTAATTGATTTAACATTGGTAATTTTAGCTATATCACTGGTCATATGATTAAAACACGCAGAATCGAGGAGCCAGGGTGTGGTACGCTTACCAGACACTTGAAGAGTAGCGAAGGCCGAGCTAATGGCATTGGGCAGTGATTTTTGCAAGGCTGCGTTCACCAATTGTTCAATCGCAGCCGCAGTCACAGTGACACTACCTCCATCAGCTGGTTGGGCAGCATAGGCAGCACGGTCCCGACGTGGCTGCTCAAAACGCTGCTGCTCATTGCGGGGCTGCTCATACCGCTGTTCGGATGCGTTGACGTCGGGTGGTTTCCCATGGTGTTTAACGAACAACCTGCAATCAAGGATAATGTGCCCTCCCTTCTTACAATAAACACAATAATTCTTACGTCGACAATACTTCTGGAGATGCCCTTTCTCTTTGCAATGGTGGCACTGAAGCTCGGAGACAGGTACCCGACGCTGAAATTGGGGTCGCCCAACAGCAAACGCTGCGTCAGTATCGGCAGCAGCGGCAGCTGCGAGCAATGAATTCTCGCCATCACCCGGACGGAGATCCAGCCTTGCCTGAGTACGTAGGCGGGTCTCCTCGCGTATCAAGTCTCCATACATTCCTTCCATCGTCAGCTCACCACGGTGCAAGATCGTCGACCGGATTGCTTCAAACTCCGGCCGGAGTTGCATCAAAAAGTGGAGCAATCGAGCAGGCTCACGGTCCGCAATAAGAACAACAGACGTGGCCGCGGGACGCAATGCTGTTGTAAGAAGGTCTTCTTCAGTCCACAGCTCCTGGGCGGCAGTGAGGTATGCAGTGATATCCCGATCACCTTGCTCCAAGCGGTCCAAGGCGATTTGAACTTCGTATTGGCGAGCGGGGCTGGCGGTTGAATATGTGGCCGCCAATTGCTTCCACATCGCGGCCGCCGTTGAATGCCTACGAAGGCTTAAACATATGGTAGGGTCAACAGACCCCAAGATCCAGGTTCTCACCCGTGCATCATTCTGTACCCAGCAAGCAATCTGCTCGTCCGTGGCCGGAGCGGTTGGCTTCGGCACCGTACCATCCAGGACTCCAGCGAGCCCCTTCCCTTCAACAAACACTCGGAATTGGAACTCCCATAACATGTAGTTCTTCGGATTGAGTCGGATCGCCAATCTCTCAGAATCGTTCGCCGAAAGCTCTGATACCATGTTAAACGTACGAAATCAAATACCAAAAACAATAGACAGACACACAGAATTAACGTGGTATCCCTGGAATGCCAGGACTAATCCACGGGAGAGTCGTGCTCTCCAAAGTCAATCGTACTAGGTTTTTCGTGATCAGTTTCATCATGTACAGAAGAAGCTAAATAGCAGCCAGCAACCCTAGCTTCTACTCGTGCCCTGCATGGATTGCATGGGCTTGGGCCAACTGTCAACTACTAAATACACATCAACCTCGTTGGCCCATTAAGTACATAATTAAACCGCTAACACGCCTTACGCCTTTTAGAACCTTGCTTAAACGTACGTACCTTGAGACGCTCCATTCGGCCGCCCTCGTTAATATACTTGAAGGAGTCCAGGTTGAATCGGGAGAGCTTGAGGACTTGTGTGCGGCTGAGATTCCAAGAGAGAGTGCTCGGAGAGATGTAGCGAGGACAAAATGAGTCGCTCACATCAACCTCGACCGGAGATAACGACAGGGACTTACAGTTACAGTGTTCCTCCAGGATTCCGGCCCAATCGCCGCCACGCCAGGCCCACGATTGCGACTCCAAGTACATCCTCACGCTGTTCAATTTTAACAGCGAGGAGGATGTGGAGGATGGAGGCTCCTGCAACCGCGTGATCCTCTCGAGCGACGCGGCAGCGAAGCGGCGGAACCTGCCTTCCGTGCCTCCCGGACACGCGTCGTCCCGGCCAAAGGCGGCCTCGCGGAACTGGAGCACGGGATAGGAGCGCCAGAGGTGGAGCCATCTTTTGGACAGGATGCTCGTTGTCGCGGCCCGCGTGGCTACTGCTGCTACGTCCGTGTCCAAGCAATGGAGGATGCGGTGGATGATGTCGTCGGGGAGCTGTGAGATGCGGTCCAGTACCGAATCTGATCGCTCCATCGAGTGCTCTACTGATGAATCTGATCGAGCCTTTTTCTATCTTCTGCAAACAAACTGCAGAATCCGAAGAAGAAGAAGAAGAAGAAGAAGAGACGGATATGGAAGTGTTGGGGTTAGTTTTGTTTGGCCCGAGCTTTGCGGCGGATAAGGATGAAAATCTAATTGAGTAATATTGGAGTGAATTAGAATAAATTAATTTTTTTTTATTACAATTTGATTTCGACGGTCAAAGTTAAGTATTTTTTATTTTGACAAATTTTCTTAAGAAAACAAATGTCATTTCTCTTCATGGAGGACTTTGAGATTTTTAAAAGGATTTACCATCCTTATATTTTGTTTGATGCTTAGTCAATAATTGAAATAAATTAAAATAAAGGGCGTTTGGCCCGAAGTTTAAAGCAAGTGACAGTTTTGACCCCATTCTTTAAATAAGATGTTTATGGTCTACTTTTGAAATTATTGGACAAATTTGGCCAGAAACTTGTGTTGACTGTTAATATTAACGGTCAAACATTTATTTCGTTAATGACTCAACAATCAGCGCTGACGTGGCAGTGATGTGGCTTCCACATCATTTTTATTTCAATTCTTTTTTTTCTAGTCTTTCTTTATTACTTAAAAACTTGAAAAACATAAAAATATAAAACTCATCAAATCTCAACCGCAAAAATTACAATCCCTAATTTTGTTTTGTCATTGGCAAAAATTACAATCCCGAATCCGTCGTAGGGGAATAGGGAACTCCAACGACAAACCTCCAGATCCCACGATTCTCCCTCATCCATTGACTGGCGACTGGTATCCTTGACTCTAGCCGGAACTTGATAATCGAAGCAAAGATCGAGGCGGCGGCCGAGGAGATATGTCGACGAGATCCATCGCCCATAGTTGCGCCCTCGCCACGTCACGGAATAGGATGTCACGGGGCTTGAAGCAGTTCAGCACGCGCCCCACCAGAGCATCGAGGACCGTCATCGAACCCCATCGTTTCATAGCTGGCATAGCTGAACCCGTCCTCCGAGAAGTTGAAGAATTCGTTCAGCACCGCGACTTCCTCGGAGAAGCTGCGGTGCGACGCCGGCTGGACACTAGGGAAGATGAGCTTCTGCGTGTGTATAGCACATCGCGGATGACGAGCGAGCCGACCAGATCCAGAATGGGTTCGACGGTGACGAGGAGCTTCATGGTCCCGCAGGTCTCGATGACGAGCTTCAGCGGGTAGATGAAGAGGCTTGACTGAGGACGGTGTAAGGATGCCATGGAATGTGCTTTCGCGAATGGCGTAGTTGACGATGATAAGGATGCGGCATGTTTGATTTAGATTTAGGGTTTGGTTTGGGATTTTGGGATAAGAGGGAATTTTTTTTATTTTTAATTTAATTTTAATTAAATAAAAAAATTATTTAATGACGTGACATGCCACATCAGTTATTTTTGCTGAGTCACTAACAGAATAGTGTTTGACTGTCATAATTAACGGCCAAAGAGAATTTCGGGACAAATCTGTCCTATAATTTAAGAAGTAGGCCATAAATATCTTATTTTTGAAAAATGAGGTCAGGAATGTCACTTACGCTAAATTTCGGGCCAAACTAGGGTATTAACCCTAAAATAAATGTATTTATATGCTAAAAAGAAAATCAAGTGAAAATTTTAAAAAATATAAAAATGTTTACAATCTTCTTATAATTTAAAAGGCTAAATTACACGTTTGGTCACTCAAAATATACAAATCTTTCACGTCTGCCACCCGAATTACTTTTCATTGTTATTCACCACTAGCTTTACGAATCGTTTCACCATTAGCACCGGCCATTACACTCCGTTAAATTTGTCCTACGTGGCAGTCAACTATAATGTTTGACCGTTAACTTGATGACATGGAAATTAAAAATAATAAAAAATACAATTATTTTTACACCTCACCATTCCACTTACTATGTCTATGATTGATTATATTAATAAAAATTACTGAATTTTTTTATAAATTACAAAATTAATTATCAGTGGCCGGAAGAAATTTATATAATCAACCAGTGCAATAGGATCGAAAATTATCCTGCATCCCCATAGCCTTTTAAATTACTTTTTTTTAGAAGCCTTTTAAATTAGTTCGTGATACATAACTTAAACAGAAGAACAAGTCCACCCCCAAAAATCATATACCAAATCTCATAGTTCGTCGACCTCAACACCTTGCTCACGAACCGCAGCCTGGCTCCGTCGATGTCGTAGTTCAGATTGGTGCCCACGTTCAGCCCATCGAGATGCACTTAGAAGTAGCCGAGTTCGTCGGCCTGGTAGCTCCGGTCATGCCTGCAAATCACAGATGCTGGGGATGGAAGCTTCGCCAAGAACTGCAGGTCGTTGAAGAAGCTGTCCTGTGGATCTTGCAACTTCGGCGCCAAAGGTATAAACGCCATCCTTAACAACTCTGCATCTCTAGAAGAACTGCCCGTGAAGAGGTTCCACAGAAGAACCCAACAATGGAGAAGAGCGCTGGATGGGAACCCGAAGAACCCAGCAGCAGCGCCGCCGGGAGGGATCGTCGTGCTCTAATTAATGTCGGTGAAGAAGCTCGATGAGTGGGGAAGGATTTTGATGGCGCTGACGAAAGCCACGGCAGACGAATCGGAGGAGTGGGTAAGGAGTTCGATTGCCTTCCTCTTTCCTCTTAGTCCGAAACCCTGATTTCAACAGCAATTTATATATCTCAACCTAGAAAAATCAATTCAATCTCTGATTCACCGGAGCTCTAATCAAATAGATAACAGGAATGATGAATTCGAACATGGAAGAAATTCAAGAACATAATTAACACAAACCTGAGTGCCCCATTGGCCTTTAACGCAAGCTTCGACGGATATTTTGCCATCACGACTGTGCATTAGCTCTTTCAAGCCATTAATCTCAGTCTCTTTGAGAGGACTGAACCGTAGCCACGGTTAGGCCATTACAGGTATCAAGCGTCGGAGATACGGATGAGGCTCTTCCCGGAGCCGCACCTGAAGTCGCTGCCGCCGAAGGAAGTGGAGGTGTAGGGAGAGAATGACTGGTGAAAGTGGCGAGTGAGGAAGAAGGTGACGACAACGAGGAGAAGAGCGCTGATCTGGTGGGTACGAGTGCACCAGCGACGAGGAAAGAGGAGGCCGTTAAGTTTTTTAATTTAATTATTTTTTATTAAATAATTAATACCATAAATCATATAGATAAAGTAAATGCAATGATGAGGTGGAAAAATATTTTTTTTTTATTTCCACGTCATTTAGTTAACAGTCAAACTTTATAGTTGACTGCCACGTAGGATAAACTTTACGGAATGTAACGGCCGGTGTTAATGGTGAAACGATTCGTAAAGTTAGTGGCGAATAAGAAAGAAAAGTAATTTGGGTGGCAAACATGAAAGATTTGTATAATTTGAGTGACCAAGCATGTAATTTAGCCTAATTTAAAATGTACCACAATTATCATGTTTTTAATCATAAAACGGTTAATCATCTCGAAATTCTGCTCTGCAACGGGACTTTCTTATCGGAGCTTTTATCAACCAACTAATTATGGATGTTTAAAATGACATATATCTTAAATGGTTGTGTACTCTTTCGTCTTTCACCAGAACCCTTAAGTAAACTTTTGACAATAATTACTATCAATCATTTAAAAATAGTTTAATTATTCTCAATATGAAATGCAGATGGTGCTAAAAATGTACCCACTAAAAATTTATGTTCCAGAAACTAAGACATGAAAACATAAATTAGGGCGCGATTAATGAATTATAAAGAAAAGTGTAGTTATCAACTTCATTTGAGAGGTTCTCTCAATTATAATATTGATGTCATATTAATGTCACTCCGTCCGCAGCAAAACATGAAGAATACCTCGTGTCCTTGTCTCTCAATAAGCAAGATGCATGACCTGTATAATGGATCTAAACAGATGTGGGATATGGATTGAAGTTATATGACAACATATGGCTTAGAAAGGGTCGGAACAACGTGTAAAGTATTCAAGGGAAAGAAACAGAAGCAAGTAGCACAAATAAATACTTGGGTATTCGTTTGGTTCCAACGTAAGTCATTGCCAAGTGGGAATAAGAATTTCTCTTCTAGGAAAAAGAAAGAAGAACCATTCAAACGGATCATTATGTGATTTACTAGATTATTTGTTATATCACTTATTAGTTGCTTTCCTATGGAGAAAAACTAGATGAAACAGAATGGAATTATACATTTGACTTCAAAATAAACGATTAATTAAACACGATACACACCTCTTTAAACAAAGTTCAAACAAAGATATTTGATGTTCTTAATGATCTACGAGACAAATCTAAATTACATAATGGAGGTTTAGTAAGAGCTCCAGAACTACAACTATGGCTAAATTTGCAGAGAAAAAGATAAAAGGATACAAGTTGGCATTGTGTTGTCTGGTGTGATTTTGGCGAACCCATCTTCTGTCGTCTGGTGTGATTTTGGCGACCCCCTCCTCTGTCGTCTTCACCTCTTATTTATAGCCACAAGAAGCAACTGTATTAAAAAAATCGCTCTGCTGATGAGAAGTGACGATTACTCTCTTCACCTGCTCCACTGATGCCCTGACGATGGTGGTGCCCTCCTCTTGAGACTTCATCTCTGCTCTTGGTATCTTCTTCATAGCTTTGCTTGTTTGTAGAGAAAAATAGCTAAGACATGAATGAGTGGCCCTTTGAGGGGGGGGGGGGGGGGGGGGGGGGGGGGGGGGGGGGGGGGGGGTGGTATGTTGATCACCTCCGACCACTTTATGGGGGCAGATGTTTACGACCCCACTGACCACACCATGGGGGTATGCTAATGATATCATCCCATGGTGAATTCAGTCATCACCCCCTCACCACGTCATGAGGTGAAGATATGATGGTCACCCCCCTTACCACGTCATGTACGTCGACCATGACGTATGATGGTATGGGTTATGGACCCAAAATCCAATCCACGCGGCTCACTTAACTTATTTAAATTGTTATAATTAAGTTGGTCTTATAAAACCATTTAATTCCTTGTAGTTAACCAATATGGTACAAGTTGCTTTTTAGCGGTAAGCATCATTTCTGGCGCATTGAGAGTAAGTGGAGAAGCGCGTCATGGACTCCTAATTGGAACTATTTCGAGAAACCATATGCTCCCATCCGTACATAATCAAATCAATTGGAGAAAATTATACGAATAAGAGTTTGATAAAGTGATATTAAACTTCAAAATTTTATATTCGAATTACTTAGCTAACATCTAGCTATAAAACAAAATAGAGGAAATTACATTTCAGGTTCACCGGGAACCTCCCCAACGGTCATGCTCCCTCCAACTCCGGCGGCAACTAGGGAACCAGCTGCGCTGTTCCTAACCCCACTTCCGGCTCCCGCTCCTATCACGCTGGAGGAAGCACAAGCATCATTACATTCACTTCCACGCAACAGGTCATCCTCGGAACGCAGCTGTCCAACAATCGGCGGAGGGCAGCTGGAGCTGTCGAACATCCCATCGCCGGAATCTGCTGCCACGGCTTGCTGGTTTGCCTCTGCCGCCGTCGACGTAGTAGTTGTGGCGAAGGTGAGAGACATTTTGATCTGTTGGGTGACTGACTGATTGCAGCCTGCTCTTGTATTGGGAATTACTGCATAAAGGAGTATTGTTATATAGAGTAGTGATGATTTTGACTGGGATGAATGCATCTTGTGAAACTGAAAAGTCGTGCCAACTACCAACCGCGTCCACGAACCGAGTCAAAACTTAAGCGCACCAATTGATCTGACCGTCAAGTGGTTAGTAAAATACGGTAAGAATACATTAAGTACAATATACATATAATATGATTCTTATACGTGTGTAGTATGAGAGGCCATCAAATGAACGAGAAAACTGAAACGGTTTGACAATAGTACGAAAACGGAAAGCTTTAAACAAATAAAATATGTACGTCCATAAACACTTGTATTAAACAGAGTATTTACTGTCTATGCTAATGGTCATTTCAGCCCCCAAAACTATGTAATTGTCTCATCGCTCCATTTGAGTCTAAATAAAAGGTTTTAAATTCATAATACTAATTGTGTGCCTGCTCGATGGACGATACTTTTCATTGTTTGTAATTGTTTAATTATTTGTCACTTTTCAATGGTGTCGACCTTCTACTTATATATTTATTTATTCTTACTATCTAAGTATCTATTATCCAAAGTTTCCGTTGATAGGAAGTTCGTTACATATATTGTGTGTCTGATTAGGATCAATAAATGTTGCGAGTTCATCACTAGTTAGAAGACCATATTCACAATCATCTAATCTTCAATTAGTCAAGAATATCCACTTTATAAGGTGTACTTGTACATGATCTTTCTTTGATTTTTGAGGAATTTGAGTTGAAATTTCCAGATGAAATTTGAGTAAGAAGTTCCAAATGAATTCCTACATATATCTTATTACTAATTTAATCACCCCCTACATCTATCTAATTCAATGCCAATATAATGTTGCATTTTTGCGAGAGCCTTACCTTCCTCTATCTTAACCTAATATGTAAACATAGTTTGACTCCTATATCCTACCACCTCTTTGTGATGCTCTCATGCGTCTCTGATCTCACCTTTGTTATTATTATTTTATTAAGGTACTACGTAAGATATTTGAATATGTGACCTCCAGGCTCTAGGCTAGTGTTCTTTTATAAAGGCAATATAAATTTCATTTTTTGTGTGATTAAAGTACTATTTAAGGGATTCAAACCCGAGACCTCCAGGTTCTAGACTAGTGATATTACCACTAGATCAAACCCTTATTCATTCAATTCTAAATGTATTCCAAGAGAAAACCCATTCTAACTAATTATCGTGATAGAGTGATTTACTATTGTATTTGTTATATCATTTGACCGTTTTGGTACATTGAGGTTGAGTAAGCAGAGAACCGCGCCGTTGGCTTCTAATCAGAATTATTACTAAGAAACCATGTATATGCCGCATCGCGCGAGATGATCAAAATCAAATCAAATAGTGGAAACTATGCGAATAAGGTCTTTGATTAAGTGATAATGTTACAGGTTCTAAACTTGGAGATTTCGTATTAGAATCGGATCACCATTATATAAAATAAAAATTACGTACAAACAGAGTAAACTACATTTCCGGTTCACCGGGGTCCAATGACCAAGCTCCCTTCAACTCCGGTCGCAACTCCGGAACCGGCTGCGCTGTTCCTAGCCCCACCTCCGCCTCCCGGTCCTATAATCACGCCGGCGGAAGCACCGTCATTACATTCACTTCCGCCCAACAGGCCATCATCCTCGGGACACAGCTGTCCAACAATCGGAGCGCAGGAGCTCTGCGGCTGTATCCCATCGCCGCCGGAATCTGCTGCCACGAGTTGCTGGTTTGCCTCCGCCGCCGTCGGCGTTGCTGTGGAGGAGGTGAGAGACATTTTGATTTGATCTGCTGGGTGACTGCAGCTAGCGGCCTGCTGTTGTGTGAGAATGTTGCAAGTCGCAACTGGAGGTGAGGCTATAAGCATTGGGAATTACTGCATAAAGGAGTATTGTTAATTTGTTATGTAGAGTGTGGTTTTGACCGGGAAGAACTGAAAAGTCATACCACCAACTATCCAACCGCGTCCAGGAACCCAGTCAAAAGTTCAGCGCACAAGTTGTTCACAAACGTTAATAAAATATTGTATGGGTAAGTTAAAGCATAATATATTTAAAGACTTTTATATTTAGTTTCTAAACTAATAATATTTATAATAATAATATATTAAAAGTCAAAATAAAATATATAATATTTTATTTTAAATATAGAAGTACTTAAATAGACATTCAGTATTGCAGGTTTTTCTAAATAGAAATATAAATTTTAATTATTTATCCCATCAATTTTTAATACCAAATCACCTGGCCCACTCTCTAACTTTTCTCTCTGTGGACGCCGACAGCCCTCCGCCACATTCTTTCAGTTTTTGCAGTCCGTCCTTCCTTTCGTAGTGTAGTCTTCCACTCTCTTCCTTCTCTTCTCTTTTGCATGTTCCAGCTTTTTCGTTTCGCTTCTTTTCATATGTGCATGTTCCTCCCCTTGTGGGTTTCCTTCCTCCACCTTCGTGGGATGATCTTTTGCCCTCTGATTTGATTTTTTCAGATCTGGAGATGTGTGTGCTCTAAGATGCAAAGGAGGCTAGATCTTTTAGATCTGGCTTGTCTTCTCCTCATCCTTCCTCTGTCTACCTCCTTGCTTCACTTTGCAGGTGCTTGTGATTCGGAGATGCGGCCATTGGCTTGGACACGGCTGGAGAGCTTGAAGACATAAGTTTTTTCCTCTGTTGCCACCGTGTGTCGTCCGATTGCTCTGATGTGTTCTCTTGTGAATGGTCGCCGAGATGCAGACGACGATTGGCTCGGGGAGGCTTGTGTGGAGGTTCACCTTTCCTCATCCCTCTACTCGGGGTGGCTGGTTCCGTTGGATTTGGCTGGTGGCGGTCCTTTTCCAGCAACGACGGAGGTTCCAGAGGAGGGCATTGAACGGCTAGGGTTAGAAGACTGAAGCTCTGGTTTTGGCCCATGGTCTGGGCTCTATTGAGTCTCTTGGACTTTTGTTTGGGCCTGTGTTTTAGTCTTTTAGCTTGTTGTTGTTTAATTGTCTGTAAACTTTTCCACTGGGCTTGGCCCGTTTGCTCTTAATGAACTTAACTTGTAAAAAAAAAAGATACAAAGAAACTAAGATGAATTGGATTGCATAAATTGCAAGTTGGTAATTAGTAAATTATATGCAATTGATTTTACAATTGCATTGATGTGTATACTCTAATGCTACACTTATCATTTAACGGACTATATTCTTTCATTTTAAGTCATAATTTAATTTTTTATAGATAAATAAGATTAATTGTATTTTTTAAAATAACATGTACTTTTGTATATTGGGGTAGGGGTGGGCAACGGACGGGTTGGGTGGGTTTTGGTCTCAAATTGACCCATCCGCTTACTAGCGGGTTGGAATAAATGTGACCCGCAATCCACCCACATACTTATGCGGGTTGGGTGGGTGGCGGGTGGGTCGCGGATGAACCCACAAAACCAATTCTCCATTTAGCCATTAAGAAAGTTGACTAACATTTATAATAATTTCATAGCAAATTAGGAGACTACATCAATAATTTGTGATTTTGATACAATTAATAATTTATAGTTTGCATCCGAATATTCAATGGTTATTAACAATAATTTGAATACCAATATCCAATATCTAATGAATATTGCACAACACAATGACCAATAATAGTAGTCAAAACTATTATTTATTCTCCACCTTTTGAAGTATATGGTCAGACTGTAGTGCAGTTCGAAAATATTATGAATATTCGATACAATATGAAACAACATTTTTTCATGTAAAAATAGGATGCAGGTCATATGGGTGACTCGCAATCCACCCACCACCCACCCATATTAGTGCGGATGGGAGATTTACCAATCCACAATTCACCCACATCAATTCACCAACATCAATCCACGGATTAACCACTAATTGGGGGATTAGACATTTATTACTAGCTCATATTATTTGGTATGAAAGTGTAGCATGATGATTTGAATATATCACAGTGCATAATAATTATATTACTAGCTCATATTATTTGGTATGAAAGTGTAGGTGTTGCATGATGATATGAATATATCACAGTGCATAATAATTATATACATTATAGTATGAATATACTAATTTTCATTTACCACCTTTCATCACCATTTACCATTAGTTACCACCCTATCTAAGGGTGGTATGTTTGGTCCTATAATTTTCCCCTCATAAATTTGCATAGATTTAATAGATGCGATGAAATCGTTGCTTGTGGGAAAATGTTTTCAAAACATCAGTAAAACAGAGATGGTACAAAGTGGTATCAGGATTGTAACGAGTGGTGTGAGTGGTACGAAAATTGTTTTTCAAATATATTGAACATAGATATCGTTTTGTAGATCACAAAGGACTCGTTCTATCTGTAAAAAAAAATTTAAAATCTAAATTAAAACAAAGAAAATAAAAAGAGATTGATAATAAAAAATAAACACTTCAATCTCACCCCTTATATCTAACTCCACTAAAAATCATTAACCCGAATATGATTATACAAGTGCGCGCCAGGTTCTGCACTCTGTCGTTTATACCTATTTTTACTGTTTTTCTTTTTGGGTTAATTGCAAGGATGGTCACTGGGTTTACTGAAACCGTTCATGTTTGGTCACTGCAAATATTTAATTTCATTCATGGTCACTAAGATTAGTTCAATAGTTCAAGTTTGGTCACTCTCCGTTAGTCTCCGTTAGTTTTTGCTGATGTGACAGTCAACTATTATAGTTGACCGTTAAATGAGTGACGTGTCCAATAAAAAAATAAAAAAATTAAATATTTACAATTTCCACCTTATTTTACAACTATTAAAAAATAAAAAGAAAAATAAAACTTACTCTGTTTACCTCTGCTCGCTCCCTGGTTTCCCAACCACTGCACCCGGCAGAAACCTAAAGCAAAAGACCATGAAAATGTCTTCACCTTGATGATAGATAATGGCATGCCCCTTCAAATAGACTCCACAGAAACCTCCCTGCCTCCATTGCACAGCAATAGGACTCCTCACCTTATGCACTCCATCGCTCCACTCCACTCCACGAACCCGAAGCTCTGACTCGCAGCAGAGTCCGATGGTGCTGCGGCGCCGGTCCAGCCAGCCAAAATGTTGACGCCGCGTTCCCGCCGCGATCGCAGAGCACGATCTTGCATTTCACCTTTGCCGGGTCGAGGTTGCCGGAATAGCAGTACTTGCTCCCGCAATCGGCGTTGTAAACCAGAGGCAAAAGTTCCCCCTCTAGCAGACCATCCCCACCGTAAAGCGAAACTCCGCGGTGCACGCTCCGGATCCACTTCCCAAACCCACTCCCACTCTACTGCCGTCACCCTCCAACGCTCACCACCATCCTCCGCCGCCGCCGGCCAACTCCAATTCATCCCCAATCTTCAATGCGCGTCCTATTGCTCCTCCCCAGAGCGGGCCTCACCACCGGAGGGCTCTCTCCGAGATGAACTTTCGCTTCCCGGACGACATGACCATGGTGATGATGGATCTGTCCCCCACCAATCCAATGAACCCCGCTGGAGGCGGCATCGGCAGTGCCGGCGGATCTTCCACCTGCAGCCTCGACGAGATCGGATCCGAGGACGACCTCTTCTCCACCTACATTAACGTCGAAAAGCTCACCGGCGGCGGCGGCGGTGGTGGAGGTGCCAACGGAGAGGCCGATTACAAAGCACCGCCACAGCAATTCAGTGGACGGAAGTGGTATGTTTGGAGAGATAATGGACGCCCGGAGAAGCGGGAGGAAATCGGCGGCGGTCGTCGGTGGAGATTCCTCCATTCGCGTTCGGAGAGTGAGAAACCAGGTAGCGAGCAGAGGTAAGTTTTATTTTTCTTTTTATTTTTTAATAGTTATAAAATAAGGTTGAAATTGTAAATATTTTTTTTTATTGGCCACGTCACTCATTTAACGGTCAACAATAATAGTTGACTGCCACATCAGCAAAAAGTAACGGAGACTAACGGAGAGTGACCAAACTTGAACTATTGAACTAATCTTAGTGACCATGAATGGAATTAAATATTTGCAGTGACCAAACATGAACGGTTTTAGTAAACCCAGTGACCATCCTTGCAATTAACCCTTTTCTTTTTTCAATTATACTGCATCAAAAGGAAACACAAGAAGTTTATATATATATATATTGACAATGGTTGATAATGTTTAGAACATTAAATTTCATGATCGTCTTCCATATTCTACAATCCCATGACAAAAGGCTCAAGATAGGGTACATAACCATGAATTATGCACTCATTAATAACCAAATCTGGACCCTTCATTTAGAGAATCCAGATATAAGAATGAAGAATTAAATACCATTTTTATTTTCCCTAGCTTTCTTAATCGGCTCATATCTTTTTCGTTTGAACTCGGATTGTAATTTTTTTTGCAAAGATGGAACGAGTTCATCGTGCTCTACAAAATGAGATCAATTTTCAATATTTTTTGAGAAAAAAAATTTGGCCTCTCGGTACCAACTGCATTCCATATAGTATTTTCTTCGTTTTTTTAATTTGTTTTTGAAAACGTTTGCACAGAAGGAACGAGTTCATCATGATCTATTGAATCTACAAATTTCTGGGTTAACAAATTACTGACCAAAAAATACCACACAATACCATACAATACCACCCTGGTACGGGGTGGTATCTTGTGGTACACAATGATAAAAGTCGTAAATGACAGTTAATATACTTCTACTATCATGTATTCAACCATCCTACAGTCTTGGTTTGTTCATACCACCATGGTATGCTTTTCAAACCATAGGTATGCTCTTATTTCAATACCGGTCAATACCATATAGTATAGACTGGTAAAAAATGACTCAATTTTTTGTTCGAAAAATATATCAAAGTGGATATCATTTTGAAGAGCACAATTAATCTGAACTAACTATGGGAAAAAAATTAAATATCGACTTAAAACGAGTGAGAAATCATCCGTCAAAGATTAAGGAGGGGAAAATTAAAGACTTTCCAGGAGAAAGAAAGATGCTAATGTCATCTGATGTGGGCTGGTTACTCATGATTACTTACCATAAGGTGACTGACCTTATCCGTTCCTATGACAAAGAATATTCATAACATTATTTGAACCCAAATTTTATTTTTAAACAATTTATCTTATTTCACGTTCGATACAAGTAACTAAATCATTTCCCATCAATCCACACGCACAGAATAAAAAAAAACTTATGTTATCAAAACAGTAATCTAGTGATAGGAGTAGGGCTGGCAATTCGGTTTCCGGTTAGCGGCTAACCGGCGGTTATGACCGAAAACCGCGGTTAACGGCTAACCGAAAATCGACGGAAGAAGAGCTACGGTCGGTGGTCGGCGCATGGTTAGGGGTGGTCGGTTGACCGCAAAACCGAAGACGGCTAACCGCGGTTAACCGCTAACCGACCACCACCGAAAATCCATCGATCTGACTTCCCCTCCCCATTTCAAAATGAGAAAAAATCCCCCACCAATCATTCTCAAACCCTAAAAATCCGATCTCTTTATTAGCCTCCCATCGCGCCGCGCCTCCGGCCGCGATTCTTCCATCTTTGAAGCTCTGCCTCCGGCCTTGCTCTTCACCGCCGACCACCACCGCTCCACCGCCTTCCCGCTGCGCAGCGGTGATTTCATCGATCTCATCTCTTTCTCCGCCGGCTTTGTGAAGGAGATTTAGTTGGCAGCAGAGGCGTCGAGAAAGAGAGAAGAAGAATGAAGAACATATTTTTCGTAAAAGGTGGGAGAAGAGAGGAGAGAAGGAGGATAACGAAACGTGTGGAGAGGAGAGGAGAGAAGAAGAAGATAAGGAGAGAGTGAGAGACGTGTGTGCTTTTTCTTCTTTTTTATTTTTATTTTACTTGTTTTTTTTTTCTTTCTTTTTCTCTCTCTTTCTTTCCTTTTTAAAAAAGAGCCATTACTGTAAAAAAAAAAGAGCCATTAAAATTCGGTTTTACGGCTAGCCGAGCCCAAAACCGAAAACCGACCCATTGGTGGTCGGCTAACCGTGGCTCCCTCACGGTTGGTAGCCGACGACAGTCAGGGGTGGTTCGGTTTAACCGATAACCGAAATTTTGGTTTTCGATTAACCCGAAACCGACCGACTGAAAGCCCTAGATAGGAGTCATAGGA